CCCTTCGGTCTTCTTAAAAAAAGTCCGGAAAGTTGGGTTCCCAGACAACGAGCGGGCCCATACCCTCCGTCGCGGCCGTGAAGCTCTGGTAAAACCCCTTCGTTTGGTCAATCGTTTTCATAGTAGGGGCTGGGGGGGGCCGAGCCCCCACCAGGGGGGAGGTTCCCTGGGGGGGCAGCCACCGCGGTAGTCCAGGCTCCCCAACTCGGACGCCTCTCCGGGGCTTTTTCCCGGAGCCGTCAAAATGCTGATACCGTGTGCTGACGAGGGTCAGTTTCTGGGCCCCGGCGCTCGGGGAGGCGGGAGTCCTGGAAAGGGAGGTGGGAAGGAGGTAACTGGGGGTTGGGGGCTCCCAAACAGAAGACTGAAGGGAAGCCCGAGTTCTCTCAGCCGCCCCGCAGTCTGTGTCGGACGCGGCAGCCTGAGACCGGGAGGAGGCGGAACCGGGGACCCCGGGGCTGGGGTTCGGAAAGTTTGGGACCGCCGGGCCCTCGTCGCCCCCGCCGCGGCCGGGCTCAGAGTCGGAGCCGGTTGTCATGGAGAGAGTTGTGAATCAGTGCCTGCGTGCGGCCTCAGACACACCCATGGCGACCCGGGGAAGGCCCCCCGCGAGTGTAGCCGGCGGGCGGCTGACCTGTTGCGGGCGGTGTCCGGCCTCACATGTACGTGCGCGGGCTTCCTCGGCACCTGTCACGTTGGAGGCCGAAGGGCTGCCCGCCCCCCTCTCTGCTTACTTTGTGTTGTTACATCTTCCAGAACCGTGTTGGGATTTTGTCATTGACAGGGCCAGGGAAGTGTGGAAGCCCTGTTTTTTGCTTGTTGCTTGCCCAGGACGTGGAGACAAGAGGGAGTTCAGCGTGTGGGCTGCGCGGTGTTGGACGGGGGAGTTAGTCCCGAGTGTAGACGTGCAGCGGCTCCCTTCTCGGGAGGACGCGTGGTGGTCCTGGTTCCTGCCGTCCTGGAGGGAGAGGCGTGTCGGAGGCCGGCAGGAAGCCAGCCTCTTAGGAGTTCCTTCTTCCTGGGGCAATGCTTAGAACCGGTGGGGGGAGAGAGAGACCACGCTGGAACGTAATCAGAAGTTTTGCCAGGAAATTAAGGAGGACAACTTCTAAGTTTTCATCCAGCTGTAATATCCTGTGATTCAGTCCAACAACTGAGGGTTGCCTGAGGTTCTTCCGTCCTGGGACCGGTAGCAGCCCTGTTTCTGTAACACTTAGAGCGCTCACAAGGCAAAGTCTCCCTCTCAGGACTGTACGAGGTATAGGACAGGAATCGCCTGTGTTTTCTTCCTCCCGGTTTGTGTGTCTCCAGCACCTGGAAAAGTGCTTGCTGCAGAGTGGGTATGCAACAGATACCTGAGGGATACTGTGTTGCATCATTTATGCATAGTGGTTGCTCTCTGCACGGATCGCATTTCTGTTCCGCTCATTACCTGCGAGTACTTACAGAAGTGGCCCCTTTTACTCCCACTGTTAGGCTAGATGTGGCAAGAAGATTTGGGGGTGACGAACGACTGAAGGCCTGACTTCTTCCTTCAAGAGCACACGGTCTACCTGGGAGAAGGAAGCATCTTTATGTTTATGAAAGAATTGTGAAAGCAAATGAGGTAGTAGGCAAACTAGTGCTATGTGAGGGCTGCCCGAGTACTTTGCAGTCCTGTAGAAATTTAGAAAAGATGGGATATTCGGGCTGTTAGGGAGCTCTTTGGAAGAGGTAATATTTGAACTAGTCTTTGAAAGAAGTGCAAATTTTGAATTAGAAAAGAGGTAAGAAATCACCTACTGAGAATTTGGTCGACAGAGGATATACTGAGGAGTCTACAGGTCTGGTGACTGGAGCAGGTCTCTCAAAGGGAAATATTAAAGAAATAAGGTTTGGCAGTCTGGGAAGGAAAAACATTAAAGACTAAGGCGGGCTTATAGGTGTCCCACGGATAACAAGGCATCTGTTTGCAGGGTGGCATGGAGTTCTGTTAATTGTAATAAAGAGTAAATTTTATCCTTACTTAAAAGATACTATGGTTCAAACAGAATCAGGTTGTTACATAATTTCGATTTCAGTTACTAATTGGGATGAGTGCCTCACTAAGGGTGGTAGTCAGCAATGTGTGTCTCAGTTTCTAAAATCGACCTGATGTGCTCGGGCCGTTCTATTGGAAATTTACTGAAATGTATAGAAAGTAGTCATCTAGCCATGCTCAGTGACACAGTTTTGCCTGGGATTATTTTTTATAGTAGACTATGAGGTTTGTAGTTATTCCTGGTCCTGTAAAAAAAAAATGCAAGTAATATTACTTGGTAAAGGAGTCTGCCTGAAGAAGGAAATTAAAAAATGTTACCAGGGTTGGGTGTTGTGGTGCAGCAGGTTAAGCTGCAGCTTGCAATGGTGGCATGCCATATTGGAGTGCCAGTTGAGTCCTGCCTGGCTCACCCACTTCCAATCCAGCTTCCTGCTAATGCTCCTGGAAAGGCAGTAAACGATGGTCCAAGTACATGTGTCCCTGCTACTTTCATGGTAACTGAGTGGAGTTCCTGGCTCCTGGCTTTGGCCAGGATTTGGGTAGTGAAGCAGCAGTAGGATGGAAGATCTCTCTCTTTGTCCCTCCCTCTCTCTCTGTGTCACTGCCTTTCACATAAATAAATAAATCTTTAAAAAGCTGACAAAAAGAATTGAATAAAGATACTGCTGCTGAATGTTGAACTTTTTTAAAAAATATTTATTTGAGAGGTAGAGTTACAGACAGAGAGAGGGAGAGACAGAGAGAAAGTCTTCCATCCACTGGTTCACTCCTCAAATGGCCACAGTGGCTGGAGCGGAGCTGATCTGAAGCCACGGAGCCAGAAGTTTCTTCCAGGTCTCCCACATGGTGCAGGGGCCCAAGCATCTTCCACTGCTCTCCCAGGCCATAGCAGAGAGCTGGGTTGCAAGAAGAGCAGCCGGAACAAGAACCAGTGCCCATATGGGATGCTGGCGCCTCAGGCAGAGGCATAACCTACTATGTCACAGTGCCGGCCCCCAACCTTTGGTTTTGTTACATCTTTCATTATATAAAAACTCTATTTTAGTGGTGTGTAAGGCTGAAGTTGAATTGTGAACCAAAACGTGTAAAGTTACAACAGCAAATGTTGCATTATTTAACAACTCAGCAAATATTTATCGAGTACTGGCTAAGGCTAGCCACTCTGCTGGGTGCTGGGGAGACATAGATGAATAAGACACAGTATACTCTCTGACATACTAACTGTTCATGAGAGGAGATAAACCATAGCCATTATATGTTGTGATAAGGTGATCACTTTGGGAATGAATTAAAGTGCTGGGGAATAGATCATTTGTTTGGCTGGGGGAAAAGCTAATAGTCAAGGAAAGCATTGAAGAGAAGAGGATGGAACTTCGCTGTGAAGGTTGAGTAGGATTTTGGCACCCGTAAAGGTAGAAGGAGACATTTCAGGCAGAGTGGACAACCAGAGTTGCTGCAAATTAAAACTGAATGGTGTTGTTGGAGATAACTTAGTTGTTTATTGTAGGATTGTTGCATGGCAGCAGAGATAAGACAGGAAAAATGTTTTTGGGAACAAATTATGAGGGGATCTCCCACTGCCTTCTAAAATGCCTAGACTCCCCAGCTTACCCCAGTGAATTGGCAGTGGAGAGCAGTGGAAGGTAGAAGAATCAGATCAGAAAACTAATTAGCAGGTCATGTGTAGATTGTATTAGAATGGAGAGACAGGGAAAACCAGTTAGAGTGTAGATGAGAATTGTTGATAATCTGAAGGAGGACAGTGGGAGTGGAGAGATTGTAGAGACTTACTTTTTTTTTTTTATTATTTACTTTTGTTTTATTTCAAAGGCAGGGAGAGAGAGAGAGATTGATTCTACCTGCTGGTTTGCTCCTCAAATGTCTGTAATAGCTAGGTCTGGGCCATGCTGCAGGCAGGCGCTGGTAAATCATTCCAGCTCTCCCCCATGGGTGGCAGGGACCCGGATACTTGAGCCATCACCTGCTGCTTCCCATGTTATGTGTTAGCAGGAAGATGGAATTGGAAGCAGAGCTGGGACTCACACTAAGGGACATGGGCACCCCACACAATATCTAAACCACCGTGCCAGTTTCCTGCCCGAGAGACATTTTAGAGGTCAAAGTCTAAATGTTATGACCAACTAGAAGTCAAGGAGAGTGAGAAATCAAAGATGACATGACTAGCTTGAGCAGCTGGTTGACCATGAAGACACTAATCAGGAGAAGGAATACATTTGTGGAGGAGAGAAGAAGTGATGGCATGTTCATTTTCATGTCTTTGTGAGGAGTTCAGCAAGATCCACTAGGCAGGTGGGAATTCTTTAGGGATTATGAGAAGGTTAGGCACAGTTGTAATGTAGGTGACAGCCCAGGCTGCGGGAGCCCACAGCCATCTAGGAAACATGTTAATGTAGTAGTTTGTGGACTTTGGAGTTAGGAAGACCTGAGGTTAAATCTGGGCTTTTCCATTTATTGGCTGGGTGACCTTGGGCAAGTTATTTAACCTCTAGCTCTTAACTCTTTTTCCAAATTAAGGAATAATTATGGTTTTTAAGATACACTCAAGGGAGGCCGGCGCCGTGGCTCACCAGGCTAATCCTCCGCCTTGCGGCGCCGGCACAACAGGTTCTAGTCCCGGTCGAGGCGCCGGATTCTGTCCCGGTTGCCCCTCTTCCAGGCCAGCTCTCTGCTGTGGCCAGGGAGTGCAGTGGAGGATGGCCCAGGTGCTTGGGCCCTGCACCCCATGGGAGACCAGGAGAAGCACCTGGCTCCTGCCATCGGATCAGCGCGGTGCGCCGGCCGCGGCGGCCATTGGAGGGTGAACCAACGGCAAAGGAAGACCTTTCTCTCTGTCTCTCTCTCTCTCACTGTCCACTCTACCTGTCAAAAAAAAAAAAAAAAAAAAAAAAGATACACTCAAGGGTGTAGCAATTTGCACATGTCTAGCTTATAAATGTTTAATAAGTGGCAGCTGTTGGTGTGATGAGGGTACTTCAGAAGTTTGTGGGAAAGTTTATTTTGGTGCAAAAAGATGTGAAATCCATGCAGTTTTTATAATATGCACCTCCCATGACCTTTTTGAAAACCCCTTGTATTGTTAGCAGTAGTACATGTAGAGGTAGTAGAAGGGTCCGGCTACCCCTCAGAAATGCAGAGTCATTTCTGGAAAGGACAGTGCATGGAACTTTTGGAAGTCACTTAAATTGGTGTTTAAACTTAGATCAATTCTTGTCTTGGTCTGTTTTGTGCTGCTGTAACATAATATCAGAGCAGATAATTTATAAAGAATAGAAGTTTATTTCCTCATAGTTCTGGAGGCCGGGAATTGCAAGATTAAGATGCCAGCACTGGTGAGGGCCTTCTTGCCATGTCATCACATGACAGAGGCGTCACATGGCTGAGGGACAGCAAAGAGGGCTGAACTCATCCCTTGTAAGGAACCCGTTCCCACGGCAACAGTGTTAAGTCATTTATGAGGACAGAAGCCTCCTGGCCTAATTACCTTCTAAAGGTTCCTCCTCAGCACGTGCATTGGGAGTGAGGTTTCCAACATGTCAGCTTTGGGGGCCACACTCAAACCAGAGCAGTTCTCAAACATGAGCACGCATCAGACAGTTCGAGGCCTTGGTGGGACATGAATTT